CCCCCCCCCCCCCCCCCCTGTCTTTCCTCTTTCAGGCTCCATTTTTTTATATTTAAAAAGAAAAAGAAAAAGAAAATCTCTGCTTCAGTACTAAACTTTCCCAGAAACTCACCATCTTTGAATCTTCCTTTGATTTTCAACACTTCATTACTCTTAATATTCGTCAACTGCCCACTGTATGAACCCACGTACACGCCATCATCTCTGTATATATATACACGCACATATGGGCACATGGTAGTCATATAACTTGTTAGGTTAATTTATCTCTAGAGAAGAACAAAGAGGGGAAAAAAGAGAGAGAGTCTATTCAGCCATTGTTAATCGATTTTAAGGTATGTTGTTTGATTCCCTCTTCCCTCCTTTAGATATTCATCAGAGTGTTGTTACAACATTCCATGTTCTTAGATGCTGGTATTGGTATATGGGGTTCTTTTTGGTTGACGAAGAGAAGCAAAATCGATCATTTCATGCTAAATCACTCAGATTTTTACATCTTTTATCGTCTCTGTAATTGGGTTTTTTCTTGGAAGTTAAATCAACGAACTGTGGATTTGTATTACGTAGATGCAAACAAACGTTTGTATTGGTCAAAGCTCTTAAGATGTTTGTTAAAATGTCTGAATGACTTCTTTTCTCTTTTCTTGATACAGTAAACTTCTATTTCCGTACATTTTCAGCTTTCTTTCACTTCGGAATGGTCAAATTTGGAAACTTTGGACTCGACCTTCAGAAAAAAAAATCTAACTTTGAAAAAAGTGTACACAAGAAATCTTGCTATAGTTTCCCCTTTTTCTTCTCAAGATTTTGGATGAAGGAAGGGCTCTGGTGCTTTAGAATGGGCATGAGACTTTTCTTCTTCTTTTTTTTGGTACCAATGGGCATGAGACTTGATCCTTCATTGCCAATAATTGGTTCTTGATGATGTAACCAAAAAACTAATTACAAATTGACAATTGTTGATTTATTTATGGAGAATTGAATTAATGTTTTGCAGGAGCTCTGTTTGTTTATTGTGTTTGGTGGGACAAGTTGAGGCCCTTGTTCAGTACTTGTTCATCAACAGATGGGTCTGTCTCTTTCACTTATCTTCCCAGTTTGCAAGGAGGTCTTGAAAAACCAGTTTTTCTGCTTGAAGAACTATTTTGTCGGTGTCAAGAAACCCGTCGCAAGAGTCAGGTCCCTTAGCTTTAAACTAAAAGACGGAGGGTTGAGATCAAGAAGCAACAGTTTCAAGAAAGACACGGTCGGAAATTCTCCTAAGCTTGATCAAAGTACTTCAATGGAGCGGTCGTTAAGTTTCGAAAACTGGGGGGATCCTAAAGAGTGCAGGGCTGCTGAATCAGTGGAAGAGTCAGATGAAGAAGTCCTCAACACAAAGAGATCACCTTCTAATACTCTGAACGGAAGAACATGTGAAAGAATCCAAATCACGAAACCCACAGTTACTCTCCCTGAACCTGTCGTGTTCTTCTCTCCAAGACCAGTTACCGAACTCGATGCCGCTGCAACTAAGTTACAAAAGGTGTACAAGAGTTACCGGACAAGAAGGAACTTAGCAGATTGTGCAGTTGTGGTCGAAGAGCTCTGGTCCGTTTCTTGAACATCTCTTTCTCTATGTTTTGCCAGTATGTGTTTCAGATGTTTGAGACTAAAACCTTGAATTTCCCAAAATATTGTAGGTGGAAGACTCTGGATGCTGCTACTCTGAATTTGAGCTCAGTATCATTCTTTGACATTGAGAAACACGAAACCGCGGTTTCAAAGTGGGCACGAGCTAAGAAACGAGCTGCTAAGGTATGAAATCGTTTAGATCGAGAATCTTCGATGCTTTTTACTCAGCAGAAGCAAGTTTAGAACTAAAACCTGTTACTTATGAAAACTGATATGGATCTTATTTCCGTTCCTTCTGTTAGGTTGGTAAAGGCTTGTCAAAAGATGAAAAGGCTCAGAAATTGGCTCTTCAGCATTGGCTTGAAGCTGTAAGTTCCCTGATCTCACCTTGTTGATTTCTGAACTGAACACATCTCAAAAGCATAGAGCACAATCTCAGACACTAAACAAAATTGACGGTCTCCTTTGAAACTTTTGGTGGATACTCATAACCAATATGAGCTAACTTCTCAATGTCTAATCTTAGATCTTTCATGCGTTTACAGATTGATCCCCGGCACCGTTATGGCCACAACTTACACTTCTATTATGATGTATGGTCAGCAAGCAAGAGCACACAACCATTCTTCTACTGGTAAAACGACAAGAACATTGTTGATCTCAAATCCATTTCGTATCTTTTGGGCATACTTCTTTACTGAACTATATATGTCCATCTGTCTGAAACTGCAGGTTGGACATCGGTGATGGCAAAGATATCAATCTTGAGAACCACCCGAGAAGCGTTCTGCAAAAACAGTGCATCAAATATCTCGGGCCGGTGAGTTTCCCATCTCTAACCGCCACCGAAGTCCAGAGTTTCAACCACTGAAAAATTGAATCATGCATAGTAATTGGCTTTACATTGTTCCTCATCATCGTTTTCTGTTCTTCAATTTGCAGAACGAGAGAGAGGCGTTTGAAGTGACCGTGGAAGACGGGAGACTTATGTACAGACAAAGCAGGATTCTGATCAATACAACAGAGGATACAAAGTGGATCTTTGTACTTAGCACTTCCAGAGCTTTATACGTAGGTCAGAAGAAGAAAGGCGTATTCCAGCACTCTAGTTTCTTATCCGGAGGCGCCACAACCGCTGCAGGAAGAATGGTCGCCCATGACGGGATTCTCGAGGTATTTAACAGTTTTCTTTTCTGTTTTCGATGGAATTATTTTCTTGTTTTCTGCTTTGTGGACTAAAGATGTTACCGTCTTCCTCAGGCTATATGGCCATACAGCGGGCATTACCTCCCGACCGAAGACAACTTCAACGAGTTCATAAGCTTTCTGAAAGAGAACAACGTTGATCTCACCAATGTTAAGGTAATAAAACTCGAATTAAACGCAGCAAAAAACATCCGACTATAAAGATTCATCTTGTTCTTGACATCCTGAAGAGAATGTACCCACAATATCTGTACCTGATTCTGCAGAGATGTTCAGTGAACGAGGAATATTCATCATCATTCAAATCAACCGATGGAGAAGAAGAAGAATCAAGACCAGAGGGGAAAGAGGAAGGCGAAGTACCTTCAGAAACAGCTTCTGCAGAGAAGAAAGAAGTATTCGAACTGGCGAAGAGGTTGTCCTGCAAATGGACAAGCGGTGTTGGACCGAGAATCGGTTGTGTGAGAGATTACCCGATGGAGTTGCAGTCGCAGGCACTTGAACAAGTCAATCTCTCGCCTAGGGTTTCGCCAGCTTCAAGCCGCCTTCTGGCTTCCGCTCCCATTCCTTCTCCACGGCCTAGCCCTAGAGTCCGAGTGTCTCCACGCCTTGCGTACATGGGAATCCCTAGCCCTAGGGTACGCGTTAGCTGTTGAAGGCATACTTTACTTGTTTCACAAGAAAAGGTCTGATGGTTTTGCTTGGTGGGTTCAGTTACTTGTTGGCCAAGTTAAAGTGTCTTGGCGCAAACAGTTTTTAGGTTAGACAAGTTCTTTGATTCATATCTCATGGAAGGCTCGATATTTGTCTCGTTCATTTGGTTGAAAAAAATTGAATAATTGTGTAATGAATTGAATAATTTTCAACCGTTTGATTGTTTATTCATCAAACATTTGAATCGTCATATTTCGAACTCTATATTTTTTGTTAAAAAAAAGTAAAACCCTATCCGTCAAATAATGAAATAATGACCAACTCGACAAACGAATCAGTTCACGAGACAAAAAAATATACTCCTTACGTTTTAAAATATTTGTAATTATAGATTATTTCATATTTTTTTTAAAAAAGAGAAAAAATCATATATACACTTATTTAATATTTTTATTGATGATAAAAAACAATGTTATTATTAATATTTATTTATAATTTAGTAGGGATAAAATTGGAAATTATTGTAAAAAAATGCTTTGAAAATGTAGAATGATAAATATTTTGAAACATGTGAAATAACTTAAAACAACAAATATTTAATATATATTTAAATATTAAAATATTAAATTTAAATATATAAAAGAAATTATATGTATATAATCAATAAAAAATTAAATCAAATATTACTTTTTTATAAAATATATATATTTTTTTTAAATATTTCACCCAGCGAGTCTAACGAACTAGTTCAATGAATCACGAGTTGTGACGAATAGACTTGTTAGATTCGCTGAACTCGTTTTGACATCATCTACACTCATACATATATCCATGCATATATATATATACATAAATATTCTATCAATTCAAAGTTTTAAATAAATAAATAAATGTATATATATACATACATATATGCATGCGCATATACACAAATATTCTATACAATTCGAGTTAGACCTGGGAGGAACCAAATAGTTTAAAAAAAATGTTGCATAATGTAAGTTTGAAGCTAAGCTACATCGGATTCCTTTGACCAAGTTTCTATCAGAGGGTTAAAAAAGAAGAATGACCATTAGTTGCCCAGAAAAAAGAAAAGAAAAGTAAAAAGTAAAAAGTAAAAATGTAAATAAAATTGAAAATGAGAATACATTGGAAAGAGACAAAGACAACAAGAATTCAAGTTCTGTCAGAAATAAAACACACGAGGGAGAGAGAGAGTGGTGTCACCTTCTCCATTTAATACTGTCTTTTTTTTTCCTTAGTTTTTTCTTTCTATTAATTAATTACTATATTTAATAATTTATTCAAACTCCTTTTTTATTTGTGTCGTTCATGCAGTAAATATTTCGGTCAATAATAGAAGCATTTTTTTATTATTTTACGGTACCAGTTAAATCATGTAAAAGTTTTTTTGAATGCACCAAATTGTTAATTGTAGAATTTTTCAATTTATTACGAATTTATGTTGGTGTGAATTTGTGGTAGTTTATCTTATGTTATAAAACTCGTGAATTTTTCATTTTTTATGAACTTAAATTTGTTTATTTTATAGTTTATCATATGATTATGGACAATATGATCTAAAAATTGATAATTATGATACGATTGTAAACTTTTGATTATTTATATAATGATTTATGAAATGATAAATGTAACTTCAATGATAATATATTGTGAGAAAACAAATACGAATATTTGACTAGTCGTGGATAATATCCTTAGCTAAATCTCATGCAAATTCCATTGTCTGATTTTATATTTAAAATTTTTTGTATACAATTAAATTTTCAGTTTATTGCCGATTTTTTTAATCTAAATAACTTTCACAATATATAACCAAATCATTCGTTTTATATTATATAGCATTATAAATATCATATCAGTATCTACACCAAGAAATGCATTAAAATTTAAGGTTTTTCTTAAATTAATTTGAATTAAGGATCACAAATAAAATGGGAGTTAATCAGCGAGACACATCTGACACGTGGAATAGTCTGATTGGTTGGACGTGGGACCACTTACCGTAAAGATGATCAAAAGGCTACCGCCGGATCTTCGGTCCCTGATTTATGTCGGGATCACGTCTTGTCGTTTTCTGCATCTCATTTCCTCCTCGCGAGTGTTGGAAAAAATCATTATTGTTTTCTATATTTAAATTTAAATTACGTTAAGAGACAATTCTATAAATAAATATGAAAATCTAGGGATGATGAAAAACAAAATCCTGATTATTGGATTATAAAAAAGAAGAGTTCTTAAATTTCAAAGCAATTTCAATTCAATGGGGATGACAATGTATTTTGTATGGTATTGAGATTATATATATAATGATGTTTAGAAAACAGGGGAGTATTTGGAAAATGTAAACACAAGTTCGATTATTTTTTTTTCTTTTGGGTTGTAATCGTATTGAAAAATTTTGGATTTATTACCAAAAGAAAAAAAAGACGGCACTTTGTATGTTGTCCAAAAAACCCATGATGTGAATCAAAGTTATAACCAAATCTAACATAGATATTACTTGAATTGATCGCTTGTCTTCCTCATTACCCTACTAATTAGGTATTTAATGATGTGAATGAAAAGTTTGTTCGTTTTTCCTTCCATAATGAAAAGGTTTTCAAAGTTTATACAAAAACTGTCTATATTTATGCCTCCCAAACAAAAATATATTATTCAAAAGAGAAATAAAGACAAAAACAATAAATAAATAAACAAACAAACAGAAGGGCTCCTTTTTTTTTTATCTCCATGTTCATAATTTCATATCTGTAATTATTTAAAAAAACACCCAAATTTTGTTAACAATGGTTCCTATCTTACATCAAATGGTTAATAATACTATAAAAATTCAGGGCGTAAATTTTATTTTTTATTTGATATTAATTTTTATAAAATATATACAATTCGTCTTCTTATATTGGTACTTTGTAAAAAAAAAGTTATTAAATTTAAATTTATTAATATTTAATTTTTTTGATAATTTTAATATTTGATTCGAATTTATTTATTTAATTTGGTTTAAAAACATTGTGTCTGATATATTTTAAAATCAAGATCAAATTAAATAATTTGATATATCGATTTACTTTAAATATTGAATTATAACCAAAATGTTTCATTTGTCCCAATGTCTCTTGGGGTCTGTTATTACATAGTATTATTATACTAAAAACGATGAAAAAAGAGTGTTACTTTTAAAAGCGAATGTGTAGTTGTGTCCCTGACTTCTGCAAATCAGTAAACACAGTGACTGAAATTTGGAGTTTTGAATTTCGAATCTGATTATTAATATATATATA